GGAAGTCAGGGATAAAAAGAAATGGGCAGCAGAATTCAACAGTCATGCAGCGCCCTCAGGGATGCAGCAGATCCTTCTACGCCAGTCTGACTGCTCAGAGTAGTGGACAGACCAGCATGGTGCTCCCTGGCTGCAGCAGTAGAGATCTTTGTGAAAAGGTAGGGTTGGCTTAACCCTTAGGCGATTTGCAGTTTCCAGGACTGCTGGCTCAACCAGAGCTGAAAACATCTCCCTCTGGCACTACAGAATGCCAACTGCCCAACCCTTTGATACAGTCCTTTAACTCACAGATCTTCATTGTACTTTATGCTGATGAATATGGATCCTTACCCATGCATCCAGGTATCTTCTCCATTTGGATTCCCCATGTTTTACTTGCCAATACATTATACAGGCATGTATTTTATGTGTATATATTACAGACTACTGTCTGTACACTAAATTGGTGTACAGTGTATACAACAATTTAGTATGCAGTTAATACAATACCAGCAGACAAGCTTCAGCCTACAGTGTCTATTATAATGCGTGCACTAATGGTTAGATACTGTACAAGTTACCCAATTAGTAGCTTCATTGACTGAGAGAAAAGTATGACTCAGAATTTGTTACCAGAATTTCTTCCTGCTTTCTGCTTCTCTATTTGCCTCCGGGTGATGCTGTCTCGTAGCCGTTTCAGGTTTTCCTAAAATATCACAAAACGTTTTTCTCAGGGATTTGGATAAGTGAACATGTACAATTCTATGACAGCACCAAGAACACATTTGGACTAAATCTGTTTCCAAGTTACAGTACGAACCACACAATCTGCAAAATCTGGCTCTAGACCACAGGCGGGCAACTATTTTGGGTGGAGGGCCACTTAACAAGTTTGGTGAGCCCCGCCCCTTGACAGTTGCCCCAACCCCCTGGTCACCATCTTGGGACCGGAAATCCCACCCCCTAACCCCTGACCTTTGCCACCAGAAGTCCGTCCCCTTTCCCCCCAGAAATACTCCTTTTGGGAGCGGGGTCCTGTCTCAGAACCAGAAAAAAACCAGCTCATACCACTAAAAGTCAAACACCTACTATAACATCTTGGCCAACCTGTGTGAATGGGCTCTAATCCAGTTCTCTGAGGAGGTTACACATTGTGTACACTGCATTTCAGGAGCCAAGGTACTTGAAGATACTTACTGCATATATAAGTAATGTTTTGCAAAGCCACCAATGTTTTTTATTAAAAATCTTCAAAAAAACATTTAGAGAAGATTTTACTTATCCCTGTATCTCTCGATTTCTGTATTTGTATCCCCTCTATTATTGACACTGGCAAAGGAACAGGATTTGCGGTGCTGCCCACTCCCTATCTGAAATAACCATCCAGCCACATTCATTGGAGAGAGAGGCAATTATGGACACAAGTGATAGAATGCTGTTTATTCCTCCCAGTTTACAAAGGATGCTCCCCCCCGGTTGAAATATGTGGGAACCTGAAGTCCAGAGATATAACTGGACCTGATGTGTCACTGCCACACCACAGCAGTGCATGGTAATCTTTGCATCTTATGGTGATAAAGATGTTACATTATGGAACGGCATTCTTGGGGACAAAGCCTTACAGGAGGAAAACCTACAGAGGTAGGAAAGGAACAGCAGCAACTGGTAGATGGAAAAGAATTTCAGAACAGAGCAGACTGTCATGTGCCCAGGGGAGAAGGGATACATGTGGGAAGGAGATTTGTTTTTATACTAGTATGTAGCAGCGTACTGGATTCCAAACAACATCTCAGTTCATCTCTGCATGGAGGACGCTAGCTGTCACTCACAGGATTTTAGTGAAGCAACACATAAGAGAAATTAGCATGATGTACTCTGGATCAAGGGGACCTTTGTGGGAGAGAATGGGGTAGAAGTATAGTCCTGCCCTTCCAAAAAGAGTCTCGAATGACAGTAGCACCCACAGCCTTAGCTCATATGCCATAGTCAAGTTTGACACAGCCTAAACTGGCAGTGATGACAACACAGCTTAGGGCTGCATTAATCATGGGAAAGCCAATGAGGCTTGAACACAGAAGCATTACAATATGGCTGCTAGTGTTTCAGCCCCTGCTGCAAACTACTGAGCTGTTCTCAGACACTGACCTCCACACAGGGATTAGGCTGACTAATCAAAGCTTTTTCCTAAAACTAGTTTACTAGAACATCTTGCCAGTCATAAAGAAGCACCTCTGGACACTGGCTAAAGCCTTCTTTCATTCTGGCTTGCAGAGTGCCAGGAGATGGATCAGGCTACTGATAAGCATGAAATTTCAGCACAGACAGGATGGGCAGGACCTTACAGGGTGGAGATGAGTCACAAAATAACAGCCCTCAGTGGCTGTTGGGTGACCTAGAGGAAGGTACCTAAGTGGCTAAGTTGAGCAGCAAAGCCACTAAGTGATCAGGACTGGAAAACAGCTAACAGGTAGAAAAAAGCATGTACCTGCTGGAACCGGAATGATTCTGATCTCTTTTTTTGGTTCAGTTGCCACTCCTTGAAATGAAGCACAGCTTCATCCACATTGAGTATTCCCGTCTTGACTTGTTCCTGTAAAGTAATTAACTGCCGCTGACCCGGGGTTTTCATCCCAGCAAATGGATCATAGATGCTTGACTGAGATGCGTCCCTGACTAGCCTGACGGCTGGTTCTGAAAAGAGAAAGTCAAAATGTTACTAAATTTCTGCAATCAGTTTTTGGCCTGGATACACAACACATGCCTTTGGAATCTGGTTTTACACTAGCATTATTGAGGAGGGGATGCATGACAAGCAGCCTTACATTGGCTTAATTCATTTGATTCCACTGTAAAGTTACTTCCACAAAAATAGCAGTAAAACACAAGAGTTTATACCAGTGTTGATATGTGTCTGCAACCATTCTGGGTCAGGCATTTCCTCAATGCAAATAGGCTCTTACAGGTTTCCCCAGCATCTATTAGAAAGCTGCTGTTGTTACACCTACTGCAGCAGCTAACTTAGGAGAGCTGGTGCAATTTACATCTCTAATGTTAATTATACAAGTGGAGACCTCCCAGGTATCCAGGACTTTTGTCACAGGACAGGTAAAAACATGCTTAAGTTACTCTGCAGGTATAGTAGATGGTCTGAACAGAGAACTCAGGAAACTGTGTGGTTCCAGCAACCCAAGTGACCCATCTTAGATGCATTCTATGATGTGCAACCAGGGGCAGATGCAGGAAGTTGCAGGGGTGTCCTTTGATGCTTGCTCCACCCAAATTTTAAAACCAACTGCCTGGGAGGGGCAGTGATATTTCTATTCTGGCAGCACTGAGGGAGTCAAGTGACTTCATTATTTATTGTCATCTCCCTAATTCTGGCTAATCCTTCTCCATGCCACCAATGTTAATGACTGTGGTCTTGACAGTCCACACTATGGTCTTTCTTCTGCAATTTTTCTATCTCTTAGATGTTCATGGTAATGCCTCTCTTCTATTTCACAGCCCTACATCCTGGTTTTAGCTCTAGCTAAATACTTTAACTCAGGTTTGGTAATATTAACTCAGGTGTAGAAATGACTGACAGTGAAGTACTACAGGTACTGTCAAGATGCTCAAGCAAGCTAGATTTTGCTTTATGAATCTGAATAAGAGACCTGCATTTAAACTGGAATGATTAAAGAACTAATTATATAATATCTTTTGACTATTTTGATTAATTTTTGCCTAGCATTTTTTAAAACTTTATATATAATCTAGCAAATTAGCAAATTAGTACACATTCCAATATTTGTTTTTGCTTTGATCTTAAATAAATACTATAGTGCTAGCCCCCTAACATATTAATAAAGCTTCTAGTTTATTTTTTACTGGACAGAAATGTTCACTGAATTTATGAGTTGATGTGCTACACCATCTACATCCTGTTTTTCAGAATCCTAGATCTGACCATGTATGCAACTGTTTGTGTTACAATAAAATTGAGAGATATCAGACAAAACCTGGGGTACTTGTGTGCAAGCAGATAGTAATAATAATGAGTGCTCTCATTCTTAATAGCTTATTTTAAACAAATGCAAAATGTCACAGGAAAAACTAGTTCTGAGAGAAAACCTGTCTTGACTAGTGTCAGAGCAGAGTGGGTGTCAGGTGCCATTGATATCCAGTGTTCAAGCTACTAAACCAACATTCATCTCAACATACTGGACGTACTGAAGCAATGGTCAAAGGCAACAGTGTTTTAGTGGATAAAGCACTGGACTGGGACTCAGGTCTGGAGCATCTTCCCAGCTCTGCCATGGGCCTGCTAAAGTACTTCTCTTTCTGCCTTCTGCCGTTGCTTTTCTTCATGAAGAAGTATTATGAGAACTATGAGTGAAAAACAACTAGGTAAGAGCAGCATATTACTGCTAATGACCCCATTCTAAGGTCAGTGGGGCCTGTGGATGGTTCAGAACTTACAGGGTTAAATATATATGTGTAAGACACACAAAAGGTACAAGCAATTTTGTACTTCAAAGTGTGTTCTACTTTAAATATGATCATGTTTAATATGCATCTACTTTACTGTACATACTCATGTTTTCTGTATCTTGTCTCATCTCTGCTTGTGATCTGAAAAGCAGCAAGGCTGTCTTTGCAGGTAGTCAGAAAAGCCCCCTGGGGTGTCCTGACACCTGTGGCTTTTGTTTAGGACTCCACCCACCCTGCTGTATACTGAAAAGGAAAGAATGATTTCAGACATGCTCAGCAGGAGAGATCGGATCAGACCCCTAGGCTAATTGGCTAGACTGGGCAGTGATCTTTTAAATTAACTGGTTAAGAGAAGGGCATGGAAGCCCTGATTGGGAAAGCTAGAGTGATATATCACACCAGGTACACAGAAAGGCGAGCTGGTTGGAGCTGCGGTTGGGAGGAAGACCCCAGAGAGGGTCCCAGGCGCCTACATGAAGGGAGAGAGAGAGTCTCTGTGTCTGGGACTCCTCTTCTCTCCTTCTTTCTTGTTTCCCCTTTTCTTTCCTGGGTTTTGAGTGGGATAATACCATAGGGGTATTAATCCCTGGAGCAAACTGCCAGGATTAGAATCTAGCAGTTTTGGGTCAGGGTTGGAGCCTGGTAGGATTGCCAACTCTGACTGAAGCTATTCTGGGAGATTTTTTTCCCCAACATGATGCAGTGTCATTAATTTAATTTATTTTCTTAAAACATCCTATTAAAATCTCCCGGATTGCCTTCAATAGTCACCAGAAGACTGATGCCGATTCTAGTAGACCCTCAGCCAATCTGGGAGGGTTGGCAACCCTAGAGCCTGGTCCATTTTTCATGCTAGCAGCTCCTTTTGTCTCAGCCTAGCTGTGCAGCTGAGACCAGTTGTATGTCCAAGCCACAGTGCTGATACACTTGCAGAGTTCTTTTGAAGCTATTTTGCCCCAGCAGAGCTGTGGGATTGGGACTAGGAATTTTGGGGGTTGCAGTATGCTGACTGAAGCCGCAAGAACCCCATCAAAGCCACCGTGTGGAAGTGGAGATCACTGCCCTACAGCTTCCCAGGGAGCAATGAGGGGCCCCTTGCATCACAGAAGGACCTATGCTCGTTAGCAGCTCCCCAAGGTGCAGCAAACCCCAAGGAGCAGCTCATAAGACTCTCCAGTGTAGGCCTCACATCCAACCTGTTACTGAGTAGCAGGTATAGTGGTGCAGGCCCCCAGAACTAACCTTTTGGGTAAGCTGCCATGTCTCAGACTGCCTAGGCATGGGTGGAGTCTCCCCAAAAGAGGTGCAAACTAGAGACTATACCTTGTAGTTAAGAGTGTTTGAACTGCATTTGATGTTTCCTTTATTCTTTTTTAGCTTTGTTTTCTGTAATAATTCTGTCCTTTTGTGTTTACATTACTTGCCAGGAGGAGGTTGGTTTATGGGGAAGACCCCAGCCAAATTCAGTGACACCGGTTTTCTGGGTGGGGGCTTGAGCCACAGTGAAAACTTATTGAGTACCCAGAAATTTGAACTTGGCCCTTGTTGCTGCCAAACAGTGCCTACCACAAGGGTTACATAAGGTTTTGGGTACAATGCCCTAACAGCATACTAGAATGAGCATTATAAACCTAACAGAAAAAACACAGAAGTCTTGCTTTCTATATAAGTTGAAGTTTGACTGATAGAAAGATAAACCAGCTATATATATATAGAATATCCTGTCCCTGACTGCACATCTACTTTTTTCAATACAGGAAGCTGTTTTATTTTCTTTTTATACTTTTTATACCAGTAGCAGTGACCTATGGCTGACATTTCCTGGCCTAACAGTGCTTTGCAACTAATTTAGCTGATTGTTAGCTACCAAGAAATCAATGGGGTTGGTTTTTAGGTACTTCCTTACAAATGCTTTAGATCACATAAAGCTAAACAAAGCAAAATGAAGAAGAGATGCGTAGCTCAGAAAGCAGAAGCATGTCATCATCAGACTCTGGTATGCATCCCCAGTTACAGATAGTCTTGAAGACTTATAATCAACACACAGGAGCAAGCCTGTCACCCCTATAGTAAATCACCCACCTCCCAAAATCCATGAATCAAAAATCTTTCCCTACCCCCAGCCACAGAACTAGAATCTTTCCAGATACTCTTTGAAAACACCTCAAAGACTTAAAGGTAAAGGGTCATCCAAGTGCTGGTGGAATCTAAAATATGTTAGGGGTGTTTCTTATGAATTAAGTTGAAATTAGACACACATTTGTGCCTCAACAATGCATTTAGCTGAGAGGTTGCAGGTGGCTATGTCCACTCCAGCAATGGAAGTAAGTCAGTATATAACTTTCACACATGAATCTAAGTCAGTCACTTTTTCAAGGTGCAGACACTAGACTTACCTTTCTTAACCCTCTCTGAAGAGATATAAAGATTCTCAGGTCTTCGGGCTTTTTGTGCAAAAACTGTAAGACACATATTCTTTAGATACCAGATTGCATATCAGGCAGGAGAGAAAGAATGAGAAATGAAGCTAATTCTGCACTACCTTACAACCCATGCAACCCCACTGACGACTGTGAAAGAAAATGGGACAGGGACAGTATGAAAACTTCCTTCCCTGGAACATCAGTTGATTCAACCCATCCAGCCCTAACCAAGGTCTGCATGTTTTTCCACAGGTGTTTTAGTGTCACTCTGCTGTTGGGGGTCACCCTAAGTGACTTTCCATTGCTTTACTATAATATTTCTAGAATGTACTTGAAATATTATGTCCAGGATTTCCAAATCTGCCTTTAAAATACTTGACCTGACAATTCCATTTAATTGAAATCTACCAGATCATATGAAAAACCACAGCCAATAAGGATGGCTTTTCTATATTTTATCTTGTGGTTCCAGAGGTATTTAATAATTTTGATGGAAGTGAATGTGATTTAGAGTAGCAGCTTGGAGTCAGGACTCCCAAGTTGTCTCCACAGCTCTTTCCATTCTGTATCACACTGCTACAGTTTCTATGTCTCAGTTTTGCCACTAGCCTAATAGCTGCCTTGCAACTCTGGGATATACCTAGCGTAGGCAAAGGAGTGAAACTCAGATCAAGAACTGGATCCCAAAATGGGGTGTTACCTCTTGCAAGTTGAACCAGGACCCCAGAATTGAAAAATCCAAACTCTGGGGATTTGGGAAGCCAGATGTGGATTCTGATCAGCATTTAGCATCTGGAATACATCTCTATTCCCCATCTACCACACACGCACCCTGAACCTATGTTCTGTAGCTTTGACTACAAGTTGTTCTGGTACAGGACTCACCTTTGGAAATGTACAGCTCTTTGTCTGGTTGTGGGGAGCTGGCATCCGGCCTTGGAACAGGAACTGGGGGCCTGTTAGCCACCTCTGGAGGAAAGTCATCCTGTGCTATAGTGTAGTAAAGATCTTCCCCACTGCACTGCAGGTAAGAATCTTCTTCTGAATCTGGCATATCTACGCTACTGCCTGAAAGGCAACAAGAGTCAGTGCTAGGGGTGCAGGGATAAAGATTTTTTTGGCCAATACTGATGACCAATTATTAACCATCCATATCAGCCAATACCGATCCAATTGCCAATGTGCAGCCCGGCAGCTTGGAGATCAACATCTAGCCAGTAAGTCTGTGGGGGGAAAGCGGTGTGGGGGAGGGAAGGGGTATGGGGAGGCAGATCAAGGCCCCCACAGTGAGGGAGGGAGTGGGGCTGGGGTAGAGGAAGGAGGAGGTACTGCCCAGCCAGGGCTGGGCAGGCTGTGGGACAGAGCCATGGATGGCTTGTCCAGGGATAGAGTGACCATTGTAAAGCAACATTCTGGTTTTCTACTACTCTGTCCTCTATTGATACGAAACTGGACACCTTTATGTCCTCTACTTTTCTCTTGAAGAGAAAAATAGAGGCCATAAAGGTGCCCAGTTTCATATTAATAGAGGACAAAGGACAACCGGACTGTCCTCTATGATGGCCACCCTATTCGGGAGTGTGGAGAGGGGCAGCTCCCAGCCACTGTGTGCACCCCCAGGGGAGGCATACGGGCATGTGCCCCCCAGATTTGTGTGCAGGGCAAGGGTGGGCTGTGCTCAGGGCAGGTGAGGCAAGGCACTGGCAGCATTTGGAAAGGGGGCTATGGAAGGGGGCAGCAGCACACCAAAATTCACCATAGCTCCCCTGTAGTCTCCCCTCTCAGCATCGCCACTGCCTGCCATGCCCCCACCCACCCTGTCTTGCAGGTGTAGGCTACAATTTACCCCAAAAGACCCCCAAGACCTACATGCTAGCTTGCACATGACAGCTATGATGAGCCTGATAAGGAACTTAAAGTATGCCACAGGAAGAGAGCAGAAGAGACAAAGGGAACGCTGAAAATGGAACCTGTTCCTGTCTTTATATTAATGAACTGGAATGCTGATATCTTGCCAAAGAAGCTGAACCAACTCCCCTTGGAACTTAATATAAAAGGCCATGCTTTTATATGAATTTGGCCCTATTAGCATAGCAACAGAGTGTTTTGCAGTCCCTAGTGCCTCCATCCTCACAATATTCCTGTGACTGAGGCAGGCTAGCTAAGTGATTTGCCCAAGGCTACCCACAGTTTACTGAATGGCAGGGAACTGAATCAGGGTTTCCCAAGTCCTAGGCACATGCTTTAAACACTGAAGTATTCCTCCCTTCAGTGATGCATGTAAATCTGTAAGGCACGGACAACGGCATCCACAAAGCAGCAGCATAACTAGGAGTGGGCAAGAGGAGCACCCTCCCCAGGAGCCAAATTAGGAGGACACTGGAATTGTTCCCAACCCCGACAGAGTCCATGTCCTGGCAGCACTTCCATGCTGTGAACTCTGAAATAGTTCCTGGCTGGTGTTGCTTTAAGAGCAACAGCTGGGCCAGGCAGAACATGCATGACAGCCACAGCTGAGTAGGGACTGTTTAGCAGTTCCTGCCCCCTCACCCCCTGCCCTCAAACCACATTTCTCCCCCTCCTCAGAATCTATGGGCCTCGCCTGCCCCATGCTCACCTCCCCAGAACTGTGTCCCCGCTGCTTCCCCACCTGCAGGGTTTACCTCAGATGCCCATTCAGCTTGTTATGCCACCGGCACAGAGTGACAGCACTAGCAGGGGCCACACAGGGTAGGAAATTAAAAGCCACAGTTTCAGTCCCATTCTTCCACCAGATGGATCCCTCACAGGGAACTGAAACAGGATCTTGCAGGAATCTGAAGAGTCAGAGAAGTGTTGGATGGGGACTCTGATCATGTCTGAGGGGAAGTGGGGAGCTGGGGACTGAGTATAGTCTGAAAATGCAAAAGCACCAGCTTTGGAACAGAGATCAGATCAGGCTTGGGAGCCAGCAGGGCAGTACAGCTGGATATCAGATGTTGGTTGGGTGTCTAAGACCAGTGCAGATTAGGTCTCCCAACTGGATTTTTTTTCTCCTCCATCACATTAGTATGAAATCCAAGGGCACTTGTACATGTGACGGGGGTTTAATACCCAAGGTTTTATTCTACACCCCCTAAATTGAAACAGTGGGGCATAGAATAAAACCCTAAGGATTAAACTGTTTCAATTTTTCTGTCACATTACGATGAGGGGCCTGAGGCTTTTTCTTTTTCTTTTTTTTTTTTGGTCAGAGCCTGCCCACTGCCAGGGGGCGAGCTGCCAGCAGGCTGAGTGGCCCCTGAGCTGCAGGGGGCCCTGGTTCCTCCCTCCATGGCAGTGGCACCCCCCAGGGCAGCCCAGGTGGGCTGCTAACAGGCCGGGTGCTGCCCCAGCTTGGGGTCAGGGAAGAGTTGGATCAGACCGGGTGCTGCCTCTGAGGTGGGGTACCACGCAGCCTACTAGCAGCCTACTTGGGTGGCCCTGGGAAATACTGCCACCGCAGATGGAAGGACCAGGGACCCCACAGCTCAGCCCACTGGCAATTTGTTGCCCCCCCACCCCTTCCCCCCAGCTGTGTGAAGGCTCTGCCAAAAAAAAAAAAAAAAAAGGATCAGGCCTCTTACTGCTTCTGCTTTTAGCAAGCATCTGCTGAAGGGAGAAGCAGCAAGGGGCCCAATCCTTTTTTCCAACAGAACTGCCTGCGTCTTGCTGCCGGGGGCTGAGATACCAGCAGGCCAAGTGGCCCCTAAGCTGGAGGGACTCCGGTCCTTCCCTCCACAGTGGTGGTGCCCTGTGGAGCTACCTGGGTGGGCTGCTAGTGGGCCAGGTGCTGACCTGGCTTGATCCAACTCTTCCCAACCCTGTCCTGGGGCAGTACCCGGTCTGCTAGCAACCTGCCCAGGTGGTCCCAGGGGGCACTACCACTGTGGAGGGAAGGACTGGGGGCCCCTGCAGCTCCAGAGCCACTTGGCCGTCCAGCAGCTTGTCCCCCAGCCACAGGAGAGGCAAGCAGGCTCCATCAGAAAAAAAAAAGGATCGGGCCCCTCACCGCTTCTGCCTTCTGCAGGCACCTGCTGAAGGCAGAAGTGGTGAGGGGCCTGATCCTTTTTTTTCTGCGGAGCCTGCCCGCCTCTCCCACAACTAAGGGGTGAGCTGACAGCTGCATCATTGCAATTTGCAACACTGCAAACTAAACTACATCTGGATGTAGTTTAGTTTGAAACAATGCAAAATCATTTAAAACCCCCCAAAGTCTTGCACGTGTACACCATGACACCATTAAGCCACACAGTGACATTTTCATCACACGTACATGTTAATAGCATCATGTGTACAAGTGCCCCAAGTGCCACATTAAGTTCCTGGCCAAGACATCTTAGTGTCATTTTCTTGGCTTCACTTAATGGCCAATTCTTCTATTAGACCCATGTTCCACCCTGCAGGCTCACAGCAGCACAGGCAGGTGGCAGCAGGCAACAGGATTTCCCAAAACAATACCCAGGGTGGGCACACATTTCAGAGCAGTGGTTCCCAACTCTTTTAGATTTGAGACACCTTTAGAAATCACCAGCTCTTAGTTTTCTCTCACTTTTTGACTACATAAAAATACTAGAGCAATTCTTCTGTTGAAAAGAACTCAGAAAGACACTAGCTCACAATGTTTTTAATATTATGAATTCCTATTTGAAATCTCTGGGTTTTATCTTGTGGGTCATGTTTGCACACCCAACACTGCTAACATTGCCTAGCATGGTACAGCATCCTTAAAAAGATCTCAAGACACCCCAGGGTGCCACAATACTCTGGTTGAGAATCACTGCTTCAGAGTCGGGCGAGCACAGCTTTGTTGACACAAGCTTCCTAGCACAGTTTTGTGTTTAATGTATAACAGGGTCAACAAGGAAAATAAGCTACAAGTGACAAAGGAAAAAGCATTTTGCCAGTATGAAATGGGTCCACTGCTGCCACAGCAAAAGTTTTATTTGCACAAATCTGGTCTCAGATACTAGGTATTGTTCAGGGAACAAATTTGGCAAATACAGTGGCTTCACAATTCTTTCCCCTACTTCCAGTCTAACCAGGGACATGTTGTCTAGAAAAGTTCCCTTGCCCATCACAACTGGAGACCAGCAGTAGAGAAGAGTCACAACACATAGTAGCTGACATGAAATTCAGTTAACAGATGCAGACCACAAATGAATATACCTGCACAGATTAAGATGGTTCCAAATCTCATGTAGTTTTATTCCTCCTCTTTCAGTGGAGGATGTTTTCTTAGAAAAACACCCCTGGAGTCCCATTTTGCAGAGAGATGCTGTGGCTCTCCATACAAAAAGTCCAAGACAGCCTCCCCTTTACAAAGATGAATCTGACACTCCACTAATTTAATCAACAATCCACTTGGAGTCAGAAAGTCATGTTTTGCACAAGGGAAGATACTGGACATTCAGAACTCAGCACAAGCGGATAAGCTGTTTTAGAGGCTGAATGGCCAACTTGCCATTTTAGCACAAATATTACCTTATTTAGTGTTAGTTAAGAATCCTGAAGTTGGGTAATTGAAAGCCTCTGTTCTGAAATGCAATAAAGGGAAGTTTCTAGCCTTCATGGTTATGGCAAAAAAGCTTGAAAGTGACTGCAGCATACTGCAAGTCACTGACCCCAACAAGCAACCCTCCCCCCCCATATATTAAATAGGTCTTCCTCCATGAACACTTTGGGTTGGTACAACAAATGAGAGGGGGTTTAAAGGACAGTTTTCATTTCTGAAAAATCAGCATTTGACTCCTCTTCTCTCCAAAGCAGTCTGGCATTAGGTTGGCCTTGCCCAGAAGAGGGGCATTTGACCAATGTAGGAAGTTAGATAGTGAATTAGAGAGATAAAGGCCATGTCTCTTCAATCTGCACTGGTATAACTATTCAATAATACAACACTGCCGGCAGAAACTCCCAGTTCTCAATGCACTGTACTGTGTCCCAAGCAGGTCTGATACCTTGAGCATTTTACCAGACATTGTTACCATTTTAAGTTGTACCAGTCTGCTTCTAGCTTTCCACATCAGGAAGATATTTCAAGTTGCTCTCATCTGAATGGTTTAATAGTAACAAAAAGGTCCTCCTCAGTCAGAGCAACCCCCACCACCCCTTACATGCACTTGCAAGCCTACAGTTCTCACCTTCTAAAAATTTGCGCAGCATAGAGTCTTTGGTTCTCATAGAAATCTCATCTCTAGTGATCGGGGTGTCTGATTTTGATTGGAGCATCTCAACATCTGGAAGAGCAATTGTGAACAGTAATTGGATGACTGTCTTCAAACAGTGTTTTCCATGTAGAAACCCAATACAATCAGCTGATGACATTTCTAAAATACTGTCCCCAAGACCACCCACCAGCTACTTGACTTCATGGTAAGAAACAAAAAGAAAGATGGACAATTTACAGCCCTACCATTGTTTGTGTGCTAAATCCCATTGAGACCAATGAGAATTATATACCTACACCAAAAAAAAAAGGAATATACTTCACTGTAGTCAGCTTAATACAAGTGCTTTCATTATGACAAGTCTCATTTTTGAAGAAGCTTCTGTTCTGACGTTTTGGATTTCATGTAACCAAAAATGATAAGCTACTGTGGAAGATTTCATTCTTCCAGTTTCCAGATGCTTCCAATGCACAGCTCAGGAAGACATAACAGCACACATGATTAACATCATTTAGTGAGGGCACCAAATGCATGTTGAGAATTACCGGTAGTTACTGTCTGTAATAGTCTGTCTACAACAGTCAATGAAGTGACTGCAACCCACACAGACGTACCTGAGCAGATGCAGATTAATCACCTAAATGTTTACTCAATTTCTCAAGCATGTTTTGAAGCCCTCAATGAGCTCTGTGCTGTTGTGGCTAGACTGCTAGCTGTCAGCCAGTTTAAAACCCACAAAGCCCAAGACTGAGCTATCAGCTGTAGAGTGCCTATTTGTACAGTAAGTTTTCATTTTGCATCCAAATAATCAATAATGTTAATAAAATGGTATTTGAAACCTATATGAATGAGCCATGGACAACTACAGTCTAACCAACCTGCTGGTTTTTGGATTCAGAAGTGGAAGGAATAGGGGAGCGGAGGGAATACAAAGTTCATTTTATTTTCTGAATAGAAAAAGACAGATAGTACCATGTTCCTCTTTGTCCACGTTCTGTAGAACTAATACACCATTACAGGAACAGGAAGCCATGAAGTCAAAGCTTTAGATCACGTAGCTGCTACTTTTCTGAGTAAAACCAATCTAAATAGCCAAAAAACCATTCATCTACTTCAAGCAAAGAAAAATTATGTATCAAATGGTCATTGTTTTATATCATTATTAGTAATTATAGCCAGTGTAGACATCAGGTATGCTTTAAGGGACATTAATGAATTGTTAACCAACCCTATTTAGTTTTAAAACATGACTAATAGCATGACTATGGTATGTTTTTGGTATGGGGTCCGTTTTTTTTTTTCCAATCCAAAGCCATGTTAAATTTTGCTATGAAAGAACAAAATCAACAGTAGGCAAACCCAAGTGTCATATCTTGCTGAGAATTATGCTGGAAACTTACATGAAAGCAGACAGTCAAATGTAAGTGTAATAAAGTCTGCCAACACCAGACAGGCAAAGCTGAATGAAGATGGTAAGATATATTTGCACCTAATAGACTAACTACATTTATTTATAGAAGGTGAAAGTCTACTCTGCCTTCTGCCTGACTTCAGGTTAATACAGCTAACTACCTCTCTATGCTCAGAAAATAGAAAACCAATAACCTTGTAAGGGGGTGGGAAAGCATCTTTGAGCATTGTTCTACATACCCATTGTCACAAGAGGGTGACACATGGGTGAGCATAAAACCAACATTAGATGAGTGATATAATCTAGTGAAGAGGGGGTACTGACATGTCCTAATAAATAGCATACAGTGAGAAAATGGAAAAAAAACTTAAATGCCTAACGGAAGAAGAACCTTGGGAGAGACAACTGCCACATCCTTGTACCCCAGATATCTTTGTTTTGCATGAAGATCAAGCACCAGATCAAGCAGATACCTTGAATGTTGCTAGCTACAAAAACTATTCCTCTTGTTGCATGACTTGAGAATATAACTTGGAGCCAGAGATCTGGGGGAGAAGGATCACACAGTATCTGAACCCTATAGCCAGGTGGCACAACCAACAGCTTTGCAGGGGGTCTTGGTGTGCTTGAGGCTAGCATGGGAATTTGGACGAAGGTCCTTGGCCTGTTAAGCCAGGGGGAGAGGTGAATTGATGCTGGGACCTCAGGTCTTACAGTGCACAAGGCTGGACGAGTCTGAAAAATTAGCTTTCAGTTTCCCCATCCTCACGCTCCAGAAACTAGTGACTTTAGAAATCTTAACAGCTGCTCATTAAGGCATCAGAGAACTAAACCTGCTAGAAATGAGTCACTGCTCACTGGCTTTTAAAGACAGCAACAATACACAAGCACTTGTTTCAGTTTGCATCTGTACCTACCTTTTATGAAACCCCCTTTTCCACTAATAAATAGAAGGCACTTTCTGTCAGGTTTTACCAAGCGTATACAAAGCCAATTGTATTCATAGGTCAATTCTTCATTCTTTAAGACACAGGCTTCACTGTTCTGGCATAAATCACAGAATTTTAGAGCAGCTACATTTTGTCCACAATTCTCTCCATTCACTTGAGGGAAACAAGGAGGCTGCAGTTTCTTGCCGTACCTCAAAACCAATAAATAGTACAGAAATGTTTGCCTCAGAAAAGTTGGAGTAGAATGGGAAGCTGCTAATTACACAGCTCGTACCATGAGACATAGCAAAGGGAAGAGTGTACAGGACTCTTCCTTAATGAGAATCTGGGGGGTCCTTAACATTTCTCTGAACTCCATAGCACACTAGTTTAATAGGTTCTCTTCCAAGAGTGTCTCTACAATTGCAGATTTTATAGATTAAAGATTTAAATCTCTAAAATTAAAAGCTTGGTTTTCCTCAGCTCCTGTAGCTAGACTTGAAAGTTATGTTCCTTTTACCATCACTTTGTATAGAAACACCCCCAAAACAAACAAAAGCACAGCGCTGTGGAGAAAGGAGGAACTACTTTGTCCCTAACTAGTCTATGGTTACAAGAAATTCCATGGACAGACCCTCTATATTAAAACCACAGCTCTACAGTGCTGTAGCAAGGGGACAGTTGTGGGGGGGTGAGCAGGCAACCGTCCCAGGTGCTGAAGTGAAGGGGCACCAACACATGCTGCCCAGCTGGGCAGGGCATAGGATGAAGCCACGAGCAGCTCATTTGGGGAGGGCATGGGGATGGAGGCAGGGTGGCTCCCACTGCTGTGCGCGCTCCCAGGCAAGCATGGTGGGACGTGTGCCCCCTGGGATCCGTGTATGGGGAGAGGGTGGGCTGCCGCTGTGGGTTTTTTCTCAGGTGCCAAACCTTCTTGCCATGGCACTGCAGCTCTATTTTGCGAAGTCTTAAAAATGGCACCTCACCACTGCACTAGGCTCCTTGTGCAAAGTCAGAGTCAGATGCTCATTTTAGTGGCTGAATGGTTTGGGATTTTTAATTTTTTTTAGCTCTTCTTAGTCCTGCATGCCAACCAGAGAGTAAAAACGGGATGTAGCTTTTTCATGCATCAAAAAAATAACTTCTCATCTTACAAGCTTCTGCAAACTCATTGAAGTGATCAGGCTTGACTAAGAAGGCATTCCTTAGTAATAAGGTTCAAAGTATGCTGCTTGACTCAGTCTATTTTCTTCTTAAGCCCAAAAAAATGGGGAACCCTGTGCTGCCACTGAGAGTCACTTTTCAGAATGAAGCTACATTTCAGAGTTTAATTCCAAAGACTTGTAAATAGTAATTTACAGGGAACTCAGTTTGATCTATTCCAGTGGTGCTCAACCTTTTGGCCCCACAGGCCAAATGAGTGGCATGGGGCTGGTCCATAGGCCAGACTGGACCCTGGGGCCCAGCACTGCCCCCTCCTGCCAGTATTGGGGTCTGGGGCCCAGCACTGCTCCTGCCTGGCCCTGCACACTTGGATCAGGCATCAGATCCAGTGTGCCAGGCTTGGGGCTTCCCATGGATCTGGAGATTTGGCAACAAGGGAGTGATGCCACTGCTCTCCCAATGCCAAATTTCTGGATCTGTGGGGAGCCCCATGGGCCAAATGACACAGCGCCACAGGTTGGAAGCTGAGCACCCCTGGTCTGTTCAGTTTGTTTTGGGCAGGCCTTCAGCAGGCTTTAGGTCACTGTCTGGGGAGGGTCTTCTATTACATATTATTTTATTTTAATATTTTGTGCTGTCATTATCTAGTTTTTATTGTATCTACTGTTTCTATTTTCTGTGTCTATTTACTTGTTCTGTATTTATTTTATCTATTTTATTGTAAGCCATCCTGCAGTAGTGTGGCGATGGGGCTAGGGGGAGCCTGGGACAGTAGCCCCAGGTTCTGCCTTTTGTTAGGGGAGTGAGGCACTGCTACTACCAGCAGCACAGTAGTTGGCACTGTGCCACCACTGCTCAGTACATGGTAACTCCCTGTTTTAACTCTGCTGCCCTTAGCCTCTTTTGGGAAGCACAGCATATAAAGCTAATAAATAAATAAAACACAACAGAAGGATAAGTCAACTTTGTTTGGGCTTTTGTAGAGTTTAAACATTTCAAATACAGAGGAAAGAGAAGCTTAGCTTGGTGATCTTAAGCATCAATGTTTTTTGCCTGGACCACATTCAAACTTCATGCAGAGATCCACTGACTCCCAAAAGGAGAATCCAAAACATCCAAAAACAAGTTCTGTGCAGAAAACTTTCACAATAGTCTGCATTATCCACAGTCCTCCTCCCACCAACACACTTAATTACTAGGAACAACAGGAGCTTTGTTCTTGAAGAGTTTGACTGGCCCTGCTGTTTATTTTCACCTGAACTCGGAATAATCTTGGTTTTCCAGAAACAAAATCATCTCCACAGCAACTAAATAAGACTTTATAAAGAGGGGCTTACAAACTTAGGTGGAGAACAGATGGTACCTTTTAACATTTTGGGGTGCCTGGACACAAACCAAGAGGCACCTCCAACACACTGTAATTACAGCACGTCAGAGCTGACTCGATTAATCATCAAGACTATACGTACAAAGATCTTCTGTGGCACCAGACACTAAGTTAGCCATGGATTCATACAGCTCATCATCACAGCCAGGATTTAGGGAACATTTCATCAACAGGTCAGTGGAGAGGTGGGCCATGGACTCATAAACAGACTCATCTGCTTCAACTTGCATCAGTTCCTCCTTAATGTGACTCTTCAGCATATCTGCTGTTTCCTGGAGGAAGAAGCACAAGAAAAATGCATAAACTTACTTCAAGCAGAGGTTTTAGAAAACAAAGCTGTGCTTCCATGGTGAGGTAGGGCCCTGTTATCCTGTTCTGATCTTTTTTTACACATGTTCAAGTACAAGACACTTAACATCACAGAGTCCACCCAGTGACCAGAGTTACCAGACTGATCTAAAACCATTGACCCAAGGGTGGTTCTTAACAAAATACCACCCAATCCCAAGTCAGGGGTGAATCAAAGAGGCTACACAGATCATTGCAGAGCCAGTGGATGGTAAAACAAATTGAGATTCAGTCCAGTTCCTAGTACTGAAGGGCCCCCACCTTCTAACTGTCTTGGGAAACTGCCTGCGGTTTGAATGGGGGAAAGTGACTGAGGTTTGAATGAGTTCATGGAGACTCAACAGCTCTACCAATGGGCCACAGACTTTCTTTGTGAGAGAATATGCCCCGCACTTGCCCACACTGTGAATGAGCAGAAGACTTAAAATTTCCAGGGATATCAGTCTGCTGTATGCACTAGCTGAACTGTGCTTTGAGCCCACAAAACCTGCAGCAGCAGGTTTTCTCACTGTAGAAATTGGTGCTGGCCTCTGGAGGGTCTCCATCCCATTCATTATGGAGAGAAACTTCCAAATATTAACCCACACCTATGGGAGGAGGCAACATCGAAACAAAAATCCATAGTCGGCCCACCATGTGGGTCACCCCATATCAAAAAGGATATAGGGAAACTAGAAAGGAGAAGGTCAACAAAGATGATCAAGGCTCTGGAACAGTTTCAGGAAAGACTGGAAAGGTTGGGATTGAAAAAGAGATGGCTAAATGGTGGATATGACAGAGGTCTATGAAAGTGTGAGTGGTCTGGAAAAAGTGAATGGAGAACTGTTATTTTCCATGTTACATAACTCAAGAAGTAGGGGGCACTTGATATAGTAAATCAAGTAGCAGGGTTAAAATAAACAAAGGGAAGCCCTTTTCTTTTCTTTTTTCTTTTTTTTCCCTTTTCTTAATGCAACATCAGTGAATTAAAATTCAGAATGTGTTGCCACAGGAAGTTGTGGAAGCCTATAATATAATTGGTTTCAAAAAGCAATTGGACAAATGTATAGAGGATCAGTCCATCTAGAGCAATGATTCTCAATGAG